GTGTGTGTGTGTGTGTGTGTGTGTGTGTGTGTGTGTGTGTGTGTGTGTTTTATTTTGAAGGGAGGTTGCAAGAGTGAAGGTGGAATATGGGGGAAAGAGAGAGGAACTGGGTTGCATGTGAAACTCACAAAGAATCAATAAAAAGTTAAGAAGAAAAAAGAAAACAGGACTCTAAAAAAGTTACAGTTGTTGGAGCTTAATGATTTACATGTATATGAAAACACACACACTGTTTAGGTAACTTTTCTATAAGTTTCATATTGTTCCATATTTAAATATTTTAAAATATCAGTTAGCTCAACAGTTATCTCCATCATCGAGGGGAAAAGGGAGGAAGAGGGAGGAGAGAGAGAACAGAAGAGAAGAAAGCAGAAGAGAAGTTTTGATGCTGCTCTGGCCAGAACATTACCATGAACAACACTTGTCAGGTTCCTAAGACTGAGATCACTGCCTTGCATTCAGTAGAGATATCTACAAGGCATGATTACTGGAGTTGTCAGTCCAAAATAGAATTAGAAAGAAAAAGGCTAGGAAATGGTAAGGGCAAGAGAAAGGACAACAGAAGATGGGCTAGTTGCCATTTGGGATCCAGACAGGGAAAACAAAGCCATTACAGGCACTGTACTCTAAAGTTTGCCCCCACAGTGGGATGTGTGAGTTGGCATCCCTGAAGATCTTCATTTCGAAGGAGAGAAGATTAAAGGGGGAAGCTCATCAGAGCGTTCAGCAAGCCATGAGCTTCAGCAAACAAATCGACACTGTGGATGTTCTCTCTATGCTGAGCCTGTATTGTGATGTGAAAAGTGAACTGAACCAGCACCAGGAAGGCAGATGCAGGATGACGAGATACTAAACAGTGGATTCAAGGTCAGCCTGGGCTATTTGAGACCCTGTCTCAAAACAGTAACAACAACCAAGAGTGAGTTGGACTTTTCTTATACATCTGGGAAGTTTTTGCTGACAGAACAGCAGCTCTAGAAGATGCTGTTGGTTGCCTTTGCCTCCTCCTCCCACCTCTTACTTGTTTCATTTCATCTCCTCTAAAAAGCTAAAACTACTAGATGTTCACTTTCCCCCTTATAAAAAGCTCCCTTGTGGCTAGATCAGGGCATATAACCTTGCAGAACCTGAGAAACAAGAGCCTGGGAAAATAAGCCTTCCCGATTTAAAAAGAAAGAAACTTTTGCTTATGCTCTGCTTTAGATTGGGTGAAGTAATGATAACTGGAGCTATGCTAACCACTTTGTCACCATAAGGAAACAAGTTGAAGTTTAAATGCCAATACTGTAGGTATATTAGTTACTATTCTATTGCCGTGAAGAGACACCATGACCAAGGCAGTTTATAGAAAAAAAAAAAAAAGGATTTAATTTGGAGACTTGCTTACAGTTTCAGAGATTTCGTGCTTGATCGTAATAATTTTAGGAGCATGACAGCAGGCAGGCAGGCATGGTGCTGAAGCACTAACCGAGAGCTTATATCCTGATCCTCCTGCAGTAGGAAGAAATGAGACTGGGCCAGTGTGGGGCTTTGAAAAGCTCAAAGTCAGCCAGGGCAGAAGTTGGGAGTTGGGGGGTTTGGATGGCACACTCCTTTAATAACAGCACTTGGGAGACAGAGGTAAGTGGAGTTCTCAGTTTGAGGCCAGCCTGGTCCACAAAGTGAGTTTCAGGACAGTCAAGGCTACACATAGAAACCCTGTCTTAAAAAAGAGAAAGAAAAAAGTAAGAAAGAAAGGAAGAAAAAAAAAAAAAGAAAACTCAAACCTGACTCCAAGCGACACATTTCTCCCCAACAAGGCCACACTCCTAATCCTTCCAAAACTGTTTCACCAATTAGGGATCAAACATTCGAGTATATGAGCCTCTGGGGGCCTTTCTCATTCAAACTACCACACCAGGTAAGATATGGAAAAGTAGAAAATTCTTCTATTTTTTATGACTTGACTAAAGAGCTGTATTAGCCAACCAAATAATCAAACTTCTTCCTTGGTGTTTTCATTATTTAAGCCAGATTTTACTTTGTTGTTCAGTTTCTTACAACAACAACAAAAAAAAAAAACCCTCATATCTCTCTAAGAGTATATTGATTGATTTTCAACTTGACAGAATCCAAAGTCACCTGGAAGCAGGAGCCTCCGGGCATGCTTGTGAGGGATTATCTAGATTAGATTAATTGAGGTAGGAAGACCCATATTAAATGAGGGCAGCACCATTTTCTGGGCCAGGGTCCTGCAGCACATAGAAGGGAGGAAACAAGGGAGTCGCAAGCACTCATCACGCTCTGCTTGATGTGAGATGCAGTGCAACGAGCTTCCTCAAACTTCTGCCCACACGTAGGATGGACCCTACCCTGTAACTGCAAGCCGTGTAGCTTTTATGAGGGTGTTTCATAAAATACCTCTATCAGATTGACCTGTTAGTAAATTTGTGGTAATTTTTTTTTTATTAATGATTGATGTGTGGGGCCCAGCCCACTAAAGGTCATGCCACCCCTGGGCAAGTGGTCATGGGTTATACATGAAAGCAAGTTCAGAAAGTCATTGAGAGCAAGCCTATAATGTAGCATTTCTCCATGTCCTCTGATTCAGTTCCTACTTCCACGTTCCTACCTTGAGTTTTGTTTTAACTTCCTTTCATGATAGATGGACTGTAAGCTGACATAAACCTTTACCTCCCCAAATTGGTTTTGGTTAGTATTTTATCACAGCAATAGGAACCTCACTAACATACAGGCTCTCTGCTCCATGACTTCCCTGAAGTAGAGTACCATGCTTCCTTTATTTCTACACCACCTGTATGTATCCTTGAAGACCTCCAAAGCGTTTTTCTTCACAGTTACTTGATGAGGTCGCCATGTTTCCTGTGGTGTTCAACCACACAATCTCTAGTCTTTGCCACCTGGCTGGCCTTTCCCACAATGTTCTCTCCTTCAAACCAAGCCTCCCCTTAGATGTGAATGGGGATTCCTCTCTTGGTCCCAGGAGGTCCTCCGCCCCCAACTCAGTTCCTATTCTACAAGCCATGGCCCAACACTTTTCCCACACAAGTACTGTCCAACCCCAAAGAAGCATGAAAACAACAAAGAAAAAATATAGCCACCTTGCTTCATTGGTGAAAAGTCAGCTACAATTATCTAATATAGTTTCTAAGTCACAAACACTCCGGACTTTTCAGGAAACAGCAGAACACATTTGTAGAAATCCCCTGAGGTATCCTGGGAGTTACTCTTATTTCTCTCTTGTGAGTGAAATTTAGCTAATGGTTCTACTGTGTTTTTGGAATCAGTGATTTTTTAGTCTCCTCTGAAACCATGGGCCAGCTGAGGGCAGCCTCAGGGCATGGGAGAGAGTTCTTCAGGCTAAATGTAAAAAAAAAAAAATCTCAACCCCTCAAATGGGCCTGTAAGATGGCTCAGCAGATGGAGGCAAATGCTACAAAGCCTA